CTCTTTCCATAGGAGTCACTCACAAGATCAAGTTCACTGTGTCAGCCTGTCTCCTGCAAAGGCAGCCTGTGAGATTTCTTTCACAAATTAGTGAGATTTCATTAACTCATAACACAGTATTCATCTGTGTAGTCAACTCTTGACTATGGAATAAGGTGATCTGGGCCAACCCACAGGTTACTTTTGAAGTGATGTATCCAGGGTATCAGTGTAAATATTTCACTAGTGGGTTTTTTTGGGTTTTTTTTGAGGTTTGAGATATGAACATGAACTGAGGAAAAAAGCCCTTAATTATATATGACTACATATCGGATTCATATTTTATTCCCTCCTCCTAGATATGCAGCTTTAAAGACTCAGAACAGCTGAAATCATGTGGAAATTTAAAGTTTGTTTATGTTCACTGTGATTCAAAATGAGAGGAAACAGGAAGGTGTGAATACGAGGCTTATAAGGATTGTGATCACACGGGATGATTAAATAATTCATCTTGGCCCAGACTGCCCCTGCATGAGCTGCCAGCATAAATATGGAAGTCTGAGGTGTAAGGCCTGTATTAGGGTTCCCATATTTTCAGAAAATTACCAATTTTTACATTTATCACTCTGAGGTGGTTTTCTCTGCTTGTATGTTTTTCTCAGACTACAGGCACCTTTTCAGATATGAATGCTCTCCTCCATCAATTCCATATCTGAATACAGGGAAAGGATTAGTCTGAACATCAGGAAATCAAAACTCACTACTAACAGTTCCCTGTAAATTACACCAAACAGGCACATCATGCAATATTTCTATAGAATGTACATGATACTAAAAATACAGCCAATATAAATCATTCATGAATAATGTCATCTGGTTCAGCTTCTTCAGTTGTTTCTTAGTAACCTCAGGTAGCTGCTGTGGCATTTAATGTTTGTTTTTCTCTCTTTTTTTCTTGAGTACCTGTTACTTTTTAGATATTTACTATAGGGAAAAGAAAATTTCTTCAGATTTGAGTTGAAAAGATAAATATGCTAGTTAATTATGTAGTGGAGGAAAAAATCTCATCACAATCGGCAGTCAAGTAGACTGAAGAAATGTCCAGGTACCAATATAAATCATTCATGAATAATGTCATCTGGTTCAGCTTCTTCAGTTGTTTCTTAGTAACCTCAGGTAGCTGCTGTGGCATTTAATGTTTGTTTTTCTCTCTTTTTTTCTTGAGTACCTGTTACTTTTTAGATATTTACTATAGGGAAAAGAAAATTTCTTCAGATTTGAGTTGAAAAGATAAATATGCTAGTTAATTATGTAGTGGAGGAAAAAAATCTTATCACAATCGACAGTCAAGTAGACTGAAGAAATATCCAGGTACTGAAAAAAAAGTGAGGTAAGATAGACAGAAGGCCAGCAATTAGTCCAGAAAGAAGAGAGCAAAACAGTCCACTGTGTGAGGTTAAGTTGCATCTTCTTAAAACTGGCCAAGCTATCGGTGTTTTAAGTAGATGTTAGCTTTACAAAGTTCATGGCTGATACATGGTTAGAGTAGTGCCAGGAGGTGTTGAGGACAGAGTTGGTCAATTACTGAACGAACTATTTTACATGAAAATGAACAATTTTCTAAAAAAAAAAATCCAAAATATTTTCAGATATGCCATAGTATTTTGTGTGAGCTGTTGGAGCTGCAGGCCTGGAGACATTGGACTGGGAAGTACCACAGAGGGCTCTGGGCTGGGTCCTCAGCCATCCCATCGACAGGGCAGTTGCCCAAAGCGTCCCATCACCCTCTCATTTCATAACCCCCGCACGTCACTTGTCGCTGCTCCCAAGTTCCACGTGTTCAGTCAGCAGTGAAGATGCGATCGACTCAAATATTGCCTGCCAGTTCTGAGCTGAAATCCAGATGCAAATGCAGCTCCTCCAGCAGTAGTCCCACTGGCAAAGCTCTGCTCTGTGATCCCCTTATAACGATCCGGCTGGTGGAAGTGGTAGTTTGTGAGAAAGCGAGTGACTTGGCATCACTATTTCTAAATTTTACAAAGGTCCACTTTTTTTGCCACCTTTTGTCTTCTTTGCGGTGAAAGCTCTCCAAGAGTACAAAACAGACACAATCATTTCATTGCCTTTTAATCTGAGTGTTTCTAAACAGGGTGGTTTGGGCCCGAGAGGAGCAGTAGGCATCCTTATATCTGTCACTTTGTCCGTGTCGTGTTGGAAGGCACCTCCTCCCAGGGTGCCATTTGGGGACGCATCTCCATAAAGAGATGATGCCCACTGAGAGGGAGCAGTCCTGACCTTATCAGCCACACAGCCAGACGCGGTTCCAGCGCCTACACAAGCCAATGCCGAGTCGAGCCCCAGAGGTCACACCAGCCCTCGCCCAGCTCGGTGCAGCTCAGTGCTGACTGTGGGAGCAGCCAAGTGTCCGGGAGACAGGCTTGTGACATTTACCTTGAAAAGATCTCTCTTGTTTTTGTAACTCCAGACTCCTTCCATGAGATTTTACAGTTCTCTGAAGTGATGAGGACCTCATTTTGTTTTGAAGGTCATTTTAAATAACGTTGAATTCTGTTTGGGGTTTGCTTGTTTCTTCTTACGTTACAAAAACACGCACATTACCCTCTACCACCACCCAGCCTAAAGGTGTATCTCCACCTCTCCTTGTGCTTCCTTTGTGGAGAGCTCTTGTAAATGCATAGCATACTAGTATTTTATTTCAATTACACCCCAAGCAGAAGAGCTGTGGAGAGCAGCGGCGGTCTCCTAGAGGGCTTGTTCCCCGAGAAACTGTAGCGGCACTGACAAGCCACAGGATTTTCTGCAGCAAAGTCTGGACAATATCGACCACTCTTTAAAACAGTGGTGCCTGGCAATGATGTTCAGTCAAATGGAAGACCTCCTGCAGTGTTTCACTGCCCACACTGGGCTGCTGCTACAAAGAGCAACAACTGTGCCTGCTGAGTTGAGTTCCAGAAACTCACAGATAATGCATCCAGAAATCCTCTTGAGTTCCAGCTGATACTTTAGACTCCTTTACCCAAACATTGTGTGATTTAAGGAGAGTTGCGTATGTAACTTTTTTTCAGGCACCAAAGAGAATGTTGTTTTCATGTTTACAGCATTAAATCTTCTAGCTTTTATATGACAAAAGCTTTATACGATTCTCCTCTTTGTTAAGGGGACAGCTTTACTGACTGTAGATCAGAGACGATGGGAAGATCTGAAAAGCAGACTGAAGATAGCACAGCCTCTTCATCTCCCACCTCGTCCGGGTATCAAAGATATTTTGATTTTTTTCATGTTGAGCCCTAGTGTTCGTAGTTCCCCAGGAGTCTGCGATTCAAATTAAAATTGTAATCGTCAGGCCACTAGGAGGTTGGGCATAAGTTAATGTGGAAACAGGCTACAACTACAGATCTCTGCATAAGGCTATTAAAATCAACCCAAAAAAAGGTTGTGCTTCGATGGTTTTAGGATAAGCCTTAATGAAAAAATGAATTTCTAAATGAAAAATATTTGCAGTTGGCTGTTAATGATATGAATGGAATGTATTAACGTGACAACAGTTGAATGATGCACTTGCCCTACAAGTACCAAAGCCTTCATGCAACACTGGTGTTCGGTATTTGAAATTATATGTTCAGAAGCCCTATTTAATATGGAAAATTATAGCAGAAAATTAGAAATGTATTTTGAAACTGGTAAATGATTATTTTGCCACTAGTGAACATGGAAAATATGTCAAGAAACAGGGGAAAAATACCACTGTGTATTTTAAGTCTCCCCCTTGAACTCTTTCTTTTTCAGATAACGATGGCTTTAGAGCTAAGATGTATGATATAACTCAGCATCCATTTTTTAAGAGAACTATTGCTGTACTTGTTCTGGCCCAGTCTGTGTTGTTATCAGTTAAGGTAATTGTGTTTCTTTTAAGTGTTTCATTATAGTAGTACAGCATGTGTTGCACATTTCCTAACACCAATTAACGATCAGTTGAGCCATTACTGTGATGAATGTAGG